CCTGGAACTGAAGTTATAGTTGCGAGCTGCATTGTAGGTACTAATAACCAAACACTCTGCAAGAACAGAGTGCTCTTAGTAGGTGAGTCATCTCTCTGGCCCATATATTGAAGTTTTGTTTATATATACAGTCAGTGTTCTGCCTGCATGTATGCCTGCAGGCCAGAAGAGGGCACCAGATCTTCTTATGGATGGTTGTGAGCCACCATGTGATTGCTGGGAATTGAACTTAGGACATCTGAAAGAGCAGGCAGTGCTCTTAACTGCTGAGCCACCTCTCCAGCCCCAACATTTTTTTTGTTTGTTTGTTTTTGTTTTCTCCCTTATCTTTTTTTGCTTGTTTGCTTGAGGCAGGGTCTCACTGTGTAGTTCTGGCTCTCCTGGAATATAAGCTGACCTGCCTGTCTCTGTGTCCTTAGTATTAGTATTAAAGGTCTGCACCACTATGTTGGACTTATACTGAAGTTTTTGATATTTTATAAATAGTTAACATTCTTTAGAAAAAAATATTAGAAGACATCTGATTTACTCTAATACCAAATTTAATATGAAAAACTTAAGCTCATTTCATTACCACTTCCTTCAGGAATTCTACTTTCTTTATTGCCTGTTTTCTGTTATCCCATTTTAGCTCTTACAATCAGTGACTGGTGACCAGTGAGGTACCTTAGTGGACAAAGGTATTTACTACCAAGCTTAAGGACATGAGTCCAGGCCTGACCCTTCAGACTCACATAGTGGAGAGAGGGAACTGACTTCCACATGTGTGCTGTGAAACGCACAACCTCCCCACCGTTAATTAAAACATAAAGCAAAAAATCCCTCTGAATTAAATATATGTAATGTGTTGAAATAGGAGCAGCGGGGCTGCGTCTCCAGCACCCCGGCTGCCTGGCTAGCTTATGCCTGAAATAACAACACAAAAACTGTATTCATTTAATCACTGCTTGGCCCATTTCTATCTAACCTCTTCTAGGCTAAGTCTCACATATTAATTTAGCCCATTTCTAATCATCTGTGTAGCGCCCCTAGGTGCGCTTACCGGGAAGATTCTAGCCTATGTCCATCCTGGGTCGGAGCTTCATTGCGTGCGACTGCCTGGGAGCTGGGAGCATGGCGTCTCTCTGAGGCATCTGCTCCCGAGAGGAGAGCTGTGGAGTCTGAGCTCACTTCCTCTTCCCAGTGTTCTGTTCTGTTTACTTCTCCCCCCTATCTTCTAACCAATGAGGGCCAAGCAGTTTCTTTTTATTTAACCAATGACCTTCCTCCTTCAGTAATGTGCATATTTTTATTGGAATTAAGAATTATTGTGTAACAGTGAAACAGATATACTTGAATAGGTAGTTGTATTATGTGTGCATGTGTGGTGCATGCTTGTGAAAGCGTGCATGTATGCAGTGTGTGCACCTATGCGTGTGTGCTAATGTGGAGACCAAAGCATTACTAGGTGTCTGTTACTCCAGAGACAGTCTCATTGAACCCGGATTTCACAAATTAGGTTGGGTGGCTAGTGAGCCTTTGTGGTCCTTCTGTCTCTTGTCTCCAAGGACTATAGGTGTGGGCTGCCATGTCTGACTTTTTATGTGGATCTGAACTCCAGCTTGTTCAGGAAGCACATGAACATCTCTCCAGCCCTTGTATTGTCTTTTACACTTATTTTTCTGTGTGGATGAATGATTGCATGTATGTGAGGTCACAGTGACATCCTGTGTGAGCTGGTTTATTCCTTCTAAGAGTTGTTCCAAGGATCAAACTGAGGTTGTCAGGCTTGGCAATAAAGTGGCTTTATTTGTTGAGCCATCCTGCCACTCCCCATCTATTTTTTTTTAACTTTTGTTTTTAGTAATTTTGATGTGTATGGGTATGTGCACATGAGTGCAAGTGCCTGTGGAGTTCAGAGGATAGTGTCAGATCCCCTGGAGTTGGAGGTTCGGGTGGTTGGGAGCTGCCCAGTGTGTATGCTAGGAACTGAGCTTGGGTCCTCTGCAGGATTAGTACTGCTGTTACGTTTGGGGCTGTTGCTCAGTACCGCCATGTATTATTTGTAAGTATATGTTTAGGCCTTTCACATACATGTATCCTCACAGGTAATGAAAGCACCCTAAGTCCTAATGCTGGTTTTGATTAGAGTGAACTGATGGAGATAGCATTGTACTCAGTATTCAGTAGCAGTAGTCGTTCCTTTGCTGTTGTGAGCACTCTCATTATAGTGATTTTTGCAAAATTTCTAATGTATAGTGGTAATGATGTTTTCTTGATCTATTTATTTACTTTTTGATATTATTTTTAATTTTTAAATTGCTAGCCTGCAATTTTCTGTGTATATCAGACTGCCCTTGAATTCAGAGTTCTGTGTTTTGCTTCCTGGGATAAAAGGCATGTGCCACCACACCCAGTATTTCTCAACTCTTAATCTCTTACATTTTCTTCTTATTTTTTAGGAAAGAAAAAAAAAAACAGCCCCCCCCCCCCCTCCGCTGTGCTAGTGCACGCCTTTTATCCCAACACTGGGAGGTAGAGGCAGGTTTGAGGCCATCTGGTCTACAGAGTGAATATCAGGACAGCCAAGGGCTACACAGAGAAATCCTGTCTAAAAAAACAAACAAAACCCCCCACAAAACCTAAATTCTAGTCTTGCCTTTCTTTTTTAAAAGTTACATATATATATATATATATATATATATATTTTTTTTTTTTTTGATTTTTCGAGACAGGGTTTCTCCGTAGCTTTTGGTTCCTGTCCTGGAACTAGCTCTTGTAGACCAGGCTGGCCTCGAACTCCCAGAGATCTGCCTGCCTCTGCCTCCCGAGTGCTGGGATTAAAGGCGTGCGCCACCACCGCCCGGCAGTTACATATATTTTTAATTAGAACATATTAACTGTGTATAATGTTTTTATATATTCATATGTCATCCTTAAAATATTTTTATTAATTCTTTGAGAATTTAGTAGTGTGTTTTGATCTTATTCACCACCCTCTCCCCATCTCATTTTGGATCGACCCTACCTCCCTATCCACCCAACTTCAACACTCCTCTTCCTCTAGTTGCTGGGGATGCTGTACCTATTACTAATTAGCTTGTTTCAGATATTATTATTATGATGATGATGATGATGTGTATGATGTAGAGGGGTGGTGTGCACATCCCATTGTGTACACGTGGAGGTCAGAGAAATTTTGGGGATCGATTCTCTCTTCCAGGGTGGGTTCAGGAATTAAGCTCAGACCTTCAGTTTTGCACAGCAAGTGCTTTAACCTACCAAGTCATAACTCCACCTTCTTAAAAGATTTATTTCATACTCATGTAATATGTATATGCACATTGGTGCCTGAGGAAGTCAGAATAGGGTGTCAGATTATTCGATCTGCCTATACACATGTTTGGAACTGAACTTGGGTCTTCTAGAAGAGCAACAAATGCTCTTAACCACTGTGCTGTCTCTCTAGGCACTACCCCACCTCCAAAAACAAACAGAAAGAAACAAAAACTCAGTCCTGTCAGAGCTCTAACTATAGAGCCTGGAACTGAAGAGCCTAGGAGGAAAACCCACCAGATTAATTAGCAAAGCTGTTCAATTTGTGTTCTGTCCTGGAAAGTAAGCAAAGTGCTTACACATGCCAGTGGCCCCCCCCCCCTTTCTTTTGATCTTAGAATTTAAAAGATCTTTTGAAACTTGCTGTTTAGTAAGGAGAGTTTTTCTGTTTTTCTTTTAAAGAAAGTTTATTATTTATGTGTGTAACTTATGAGTTCCTGCACTTGCCGTTGTGTACACATGGACCATGGCACACACGTGAAGGTCAGAGGAGAGCTTTCCACCTTTATATGGGTCCTGGGGCTCAAACTCAGCTTATCAAGCTTGCATTGTGAGGTATCAGCTGCCTTCTCCATAGGAGCCATATTGCTGGCCTGACCTTGACCCTCCTATCTTAAACTGCAGTTTTAGAATTACAGGCACACGCCACCATGATACCCTTTTATGGGGCATGTAAACATTCTGCCAACCTTATCCACGTTCAGCCATATCCCAGAGTTAAAGTTATTTCTCTTAAGGTTTTTAAAGTGTAAAATAAATTGTTTTATAATTAATATGAAAAGGTAACAACATTTTAATGTTTGTGCAGAGGAGCAGGGGAATATAAAACACTAAGGCATAACAATGGAGAACACTAAAACACTGAACAAACAGTTTCATTATATATAACAGTTGTTATAGGGCAAGATTCACAGGAGAAACTGGTTTTGGATGGGAAATATCAAGTCTTTTTGTTAAAAAATTTCGTTCTTCAAAATTAAAAATTTTATGATAGTGAAGAATCTGTACACGGGAAGGAGAAGAACTTGAAATGGGTTAATAGTGTACAGATTACTATTTTTATTATTAAGACTTGCACTTCATGAACATACATATTTTAATTACTATGTTGTATTTTTTTTATGGCCAGGAAAGGGATTAGAATAAAGAGTATTTATTTGTTTTGTTTTGTTTTTCAAGACAGGGTTTCTCTGTAGTTTTGGAGCCTATCCTGGAACTAGTTCTTGTAGACCAGGCTGACCTCAAACTCACAGAGATCCACCTGCTGCTTCCTCCCAAGTTCTGGGACTAAAGGCGTGCGCCAACACTGCCCAGCAGGAAAAAGATTTATTATTATGTTGTGTGTGGTGGAGCACAGATGTGTCTGTGTGCAAAAGTTAGAGGGTAACTTTTGAGAATCTATTCTGCTCTGCCGTGGGAATGGGGATTGAGTTCAGGTTGCTAGGTTATGTGACAAGTGTTTGCCACTGAGCTGTCTGATATTACAGGTGTGTGCTACCATGTCTGCTTAAAGGAATATTAAAGTCTCTGCTACTGTGAAATCGCATTAATATATTGAGGACTTTGTAACTTTGTTAGTTGAATTTGTTTTTTAAGTTGTATTGAAATTGTTGTGTGCCAACTCATTTAACCATGTAAAAACATTATTGACGTAAAAGATACAAAGAAAGAAAGTTTGAGTTAGTTGGGAGAATGATACACAGATTGGGCAGAAGTACTGCTCTGATTGTCACTAAACCTCCCTAAAATAAATTGCCTTTCGATGACCAGGACGAATTGAGTGAAATCGTCATGGACAGATACGGGGCAGACAGTTTCTTAGATATTCAGATTCATCAAGTTAGTGAGTGCCTCCTACTTATAACCTGGACTTGCTGTCTTTTCTTTCAGCCCTGCGCCTTCCCCCTTACAATGTGCCTCGCCATCAGATACCAACAGTATCACACTACTTGAAAAGGTATCTTGTAAAACAATTTTCATTTTTATTGTTAAGACTCTGTAGGCAGAGTTTCTCTGTGTCTCAGCAGCTGGTCCCAAATAAACACACAGAAACTTATTAATTATAAATACTCAGCCAATAACTCAGGCTTCTTACTAGCTAATTCTTACTACTTATCCTGTATTTCTTTTTTTTTCCTAGTTTTTATTTCTAAACAATCTTTTCTCATTTTACATACCAATCCCAGTTCCCACTCCCTCCCCTTCTTCTGCTTCCACCACCTTCCCCCATCCCATACCCCATCTACTCAGAGAGGGAAAGGCTTCCCATGGGAGTCCACAAAGTCTGGCACTTCACTTTGAGGCAGGGACCAAGGCCCTCCCCGCTACATCTAGGCTGAGCAAGGCATCCCTCCAAAGAGAGTGGGCTCCAAAAAGCCAGTTCAAGCAATAGGGATAAATCCTGGTCCCACTGCCAGTGGTCCCACTGACTGTCCAAGACACACAATTGTCACTCATATTCAGAGGGCCCAATTTAGTCCTATGCAGGTTCCCTGCTGTTAGTGTGGAGTCAGTGAGCTCCCACTAGCTCAGATCACCTGTTTCTGTGGGATTTCCCATCATGGTCTTGACCCCTTTGCTCCTCCCTATTTTCAACTGGACTCAGGGAACTCAGCCAGATGCTTAGCTGTGAATCTCTGCATCTGCTTTCTTCAGTTGCTGGATGGTGGTTATATGATGGTAATTAACGTAGTCGTTAATCTGATTATAGGGGAAGTCAGTTCAGTCCCTCTCTCCTCTATTGTGGATTCTTGGAAATTTCCCTAGTGCCAGGTTTCTAGCTAGCTGCATAATGGCTCCATCAATCTAGATATCCCTCTCCTTCTCTGTTAGTTCTACCTTGTGGCTCATGGCTTGTTAACCTCATTTTCTACACATCCCGCTTCCTCTGCATCTGGCTTGCGACTCATCTAATTCCGCCCTTCTTCCCACGAAAGCATTCTCTCTCCCCTGAAAATCTTGCCTAACCATCGGCCAATCAGCTTTTTTATTAACAAAGAGAGCAATACATATTTAGAATTTGCAAAGATTGTTTCACAGAAGACACGGCCTTGCTAATTGACCTAGGCTCTTGTCTTGAACTCACTGTGTAGCCCAGGCCAATTTTGAACTCATGACAATTCTCTTGCCTCAGTTGCCCACATAGTGGGATTACATAGTTGTCTATTGCCTGGCTTTAAAAACAGATTTAATTAATTGTGAATATAGTGATTTAAAATAAACAATTATTTTTGGTGACACAATTAAGTTTTTTCCTCCTGTTTTTTTTGTACTTTTTCTATTATCTTGCTAAATGTGAATGTGAAATTGTTTCTTCACAATAGTATTGTCTGTTGCCAGTGTGATGATACACTCCTGAGATCCTGGGCTTTGGAGGCTGAAGCATAAGTGTCTCTAGGGGAGGCTAGCTTGGGCTACACTGCAGTTCCAGGTTAGCCTGGGCTACTCAATGAGACCCTGTCTCAAAAAGTAAAACATCCCTACTTTTAACCCATGAATCTGGAGTGAAGATAACAAAATCACCATGATCATTAAGGTTATAATTTTATGTCTCTTTTCAGGATCCAAATATGAGAACTCCCAAAGAGAAAAACATAATGACTTATAAGAAAGTATCAGACTCTGATGTGGAAAACTCTCCTTTATCAGACATTGGAAAGAATACACAGAAGAATGTATTCAGAGGGTCTCTGCCAGTGAAAAAGAGTGATCCATTCCAGAAGGAACAAGATCGTCTAGCAGAAGAGGTTAGAAGATTATTGATAAATATACTTAAGTTTTTGTTATTTTCTTTTGTTTTTGTTTTTTGTTTATTTTTTTCAAGACAGGTTTTTTCTGTGTAGCCTTGGCTGTCCTGAAATTCACTCTGTAGGTCAGGCTGGCCTTATACTCAGGGATCTGCCTGCCTCTGCCGGGATGAAAGGTGTGTGCCACCACTACCTGGCTTCTTTCTTCATATTTGGTATTTTCTAAGTTGTATTGGAATCAGAAATGGAGTACAGTTGTTGAATAATGGGGTAATTTGAAGTTAAGGAAGTCACAGATAATAAAAACTAATGCTAGGGTCTGGAGAGATTGTTGAGTAGTTAAGAGCATACACTGTTCATTCTTGCAGAGGACCCGAGGTCTGTTCCCAGCACCTATGTTGGGTAGCTCACAGCTGCTTGTAAATCAAGATCCAGTGAATTTGATATTTTCTTCTGACCTCTTCAGCCACTGCACTCATGGACATGCACATAACACATAAAAATAAAAATAATCTTAATAAAACTTAAGGCTAAAATAAAATTAGCCTTTTTTGGGGGTGGGGGGATTGGTTTGTTCTGTTTTTTTCAAGACAGGGTTTCTCTGTATAATAGCTCTGGCTGTCCTGGAACTCACTTTGTAGATTAGGCTGGCCTCGAGCTCACCGAGATCTGCCTGCCTCTGCCTCCTGAGTGCTGGGATTAAAGGTGTGCACCACCACCACCCAGCTTCAAATCAACCTTCTTAAAAATGTAAAAGTAGATTTCTTATAAACCTATTTAGTTAAGATTGACATTATTACTTACTTCCCATTCTGTAAATATCATTCAATGTATAAACGTAGTACATGTTCGGTAGTTAATTGATAAAACCATTGCATAAATTGTTAGGTAAATGTCTTCAATGATTATAGTCATTTGAATTCTTTGTGTTTCTTGGCTTTTTTTTAAATATAAAAACTAAGATTATGTTAACTTTGCTTTCTAAATATTTCCAAAGTGACTAAAGATGTAGCAATTCATTAACTTTAAAGTTTTTTTTTTAGTTTAATTCTTTTTGTGTCTGTCTGTCTGTGCATCATATGTATGTTTGGTGCCATAGAAGGCCAGAAGAGGATCTTGGACTCCTTAGAACTGGAGTTAGAGAGTTGTGAACGACCATGTGGGTGCTGTGAGCTGAACCCAGGTCCTCTGTAAGAGCAAAACATTCTCTTAGTTTCTGAGCCATTTCTCTAGCCCTTGATATTTTTTAAAGTTATTTTAATATTTAAAATATTTTTCTGACTTTTTTTTGTATGTGTGTGAATGTTTTACCTGCATGTATGTATTGCATCACATATGTGCAGTATCTGCAGAAGTCAGAAGAGGGTGTTAGATCCCTGGAGGTAGAGTTACTACTGATTGTTGTGAGCCAAACCTAGGTCCTCTGCAGGAGCAACTGCTCTTGACTGCTGAGCCATCTCTCTGGCTCCCTTAGTTTTTTTTTTTTTAGATTTATTTATTTATTATGTATACAACATTCCTTCCATGTATGCTTGCATGCCAGAAGAGGGGACCAGATCTCATTACAGATGGCCGTGAGCCACCATGTGGTTGCTAGGAATTGAACTCAGGACCTCTGGAAGAGCAGCCCCCAGTTGTTTGGTTTTTAATGGCAAAGGTTCTTGTGTTTGTGGTGTTTCTATTTACATAAATGTGGAGGTGGCGGACAATTTGGAGAAGTTGGTTCTCTCTTTCTACCATGTGTTCCCTGGAATCAAACTCAGCTCATTGTAGCAATGTTTTTATTATGTCAAGTGACTTGATCAGTACCCACAGGTCAGTTTATACAAATTAAATACTCGAGCTTTTCACTGTTGCTATCTTGATTCTTTTATAATTTAACATTATTGAATTAATATTTTATTAAGCAGTCTTAGCATATGACAGTTTATTTCCAAGTGACTTAAAAATAGGCTTTATTAAAGATTATTAATTTGGGTTTTAGCATCTCCTTATCAGTCTGACCCTACTAAATAGGCACTGTACAGTATCAGAGAATGGAATTAATGCCAACTATTCTATTTGTAGCATGAGGCCAATTTCATGGTTTCTAAATGCTTCTAAGTTGCTAATATTCTGTTGATTCTCTTTATTGACTACACTAAAAAGATGATCAGTTCTTTTAAAAATGGAATTCCCTAGTTATGGAAAGTAATGCATGTTTTCAGCTTAATAGAATTTAGATTGCTCTTGGGAAATGGAGGCAGGAAGGTCAGGAACTCAAGATCATTCTCTGCTAAATAGTGAGTTCCAAGTAATCCTAGGCTACATGAGACTCTTGTCTCAGCAAAACAAAATAAAAAAATGTGGGCCTGAGAGATGGCTCAGTGTTTAAGATCACTTGTTGCTTGTCCGGAGGACCCAGGTTTGATTTCTAGCATCCACATTTTGACTCAGTCACCCATAACCCCAATTTGATGGGATCCAACAGGGTACATACACATGTGTGCAGGCAAAAACATTTATGCACATAAAAGTAAATAAATTAAAAAAATTAGAAAAGATCCCAAAACACAATAAGAAAATTAACAATGGAATAGGGTGGGATAGAAGAAGAGAATCCTAAACTCTCATGAGACTGAAAGTAAAATGAATATTCATTTATTTAGTGGTTTAAGACAGGATCTTTTCATAGCCCTAGCTGGCCTTGAGTTCATGATGATGGTTTTCCTGTCTCTGTCTCTGAAATGCTGGGATTACAGCTAAGTTCCAGGACAGTCAGGGCTACACAAAGAAACCCTGTTTTAAAAAACAAAATCAAGGGCTGGAGAGATGGCTCAGCGGTTAAGAGCGTTGCCTGCTCTTCCAAAGGTCCTGAGTTCAATTCCCAGCAACCACATGGTGGCTCACAACCATCTGTAATGAGGTCTGGTGCCCTCTTCTGGCCTTCAGGCATACACGGAGAAAGAGTATTGTATACATAATAAATAAATAAATAAGTTTAAAAAAAATCAAAACCCAAAATCTTCCTGAGTATAAAACTTTTCCTCCTCCCCTAACACACACTCTCTCACAGGGTTTTACTATGTAG